GAGACTCCCTTTCGCTCGTCTATAGAGAGACTCCCTTTCGCTCGTCTATAGAGAGACTCCCTTTCGCTCGTCTATAGAGAGACTCCCTTTCGCTCGTCTATAGAGACTCCCTTTCGTTCGTCTATAGAGACTCCCTTTCGCTCGTCTATAGACACTCCCTTTCGCTCGTCTATAGACACTCCCTTTCGCTCGTCTATAGGACTCCCTTTCACTCTTATATAGTAACCCCCTTTCCAAAATTCTCTTAAGATTTCCTTCGAGTCATCCATCAAAAGTATGCAACTTTTTTTGGGGTTAATCAAATCTTATCAATGTTCTGGCCTTTATTTAACGGCCATTTCAGTCTTCCAGCGTGCCAAATGTTTTACCAAAATGCATGAAAATGGATTAAATCGCATATAGTTGTCAGTTCCTAATACCACCCATTGAAGTTATTTTGTTTCGTTTCGTTTCCGCCTCAAGTACATTTGATACGTCGATAATTACGGTTATAATAATTTTATTTGTCCAACTGCTACCGAGTGCATTGATTAATGTTGGGTGGCGGGAAACCGTAGCAGATAACAGAATTGAACAGGTTTTTCGATGCTGATAATAGATTGGTTATTGGGAAGTTCAGACAAGCAAAATATATGTTTGCACCGACGAGAAAAACCTTACCTGGGCTGAATTACCGTTTTCCAATAAAATAAGAAATTAAATTTCCTAAAATCCAATTTTTTTTAACGAGAACCATTTCAGTTTAGCTGAATTGAGGTTTAACCTTCAATATACATTTTAGAGCTCTAAAATTGATATTTTATCCTCAGTTAGCTAATAACTTGACATTTTACTTGAATTTATATCATCTGAACTTGGATTTTCAGGTTACAAAAATACAGTTCAGGTGGTTTTCACTGAAATAAAACAGCTGATTTATTTTTTTATTATAAATGGACTTATAGGACCGGCTTTAGTTCAGGAGATTCTATTTAGCCTAATGAAAATAAATGCCAGATTTTAACATTTAATTAAAATTCGGCTGATTTAAATCTAGAATTTAATAAATATTTTTATAAATAACTGTCCAGTTATTTCAGCAAAAATGTATGTTACCTCTTAATGAAATTCGCCAATAAGTTTCACTATATGACAGTTTTAGGTTTTTAGCTACCAAATGCAACGATAATCATAAAAATATCACGCCTTGAAATCAAATACTAAACAAATTGGGACAAAAACAAAACAAACCCAAAAAGAAGCTATTCATCGTAAACCGAAAGAAAGCAAAAAAGTCTCATGGACGCCGTCTTATCGCTGGAGATTAGATTAACGAATACAAAAAGCGTGGAGCTCCAGCAAACTATATCCAAAGCATGATTGCATACCCTGTTGGACTTTGAAATCCACAAATAATAGGTAATAGAACACCTCCAAGCAGATTAAATCTAGCCAACTCACGAGAGTTTCAGTTTTACGCCGAGCAAAACAAAACAAAAATACACTATTGATAGTTGGCAATTAGACTGCTCCAGAACTTACCAATAATTGGACGGCTATAATTTCCGGTATAATGGAAAAAAAATCAATTTTGCAAATTAAGAACATCTATTATTCAAATTAAACTAAATCAAGAAACTGGTTCCTGACATATTATCGTAGACATTAAATACAATATTTATATTGATTTTTTTCCTAATTTAAATTGACAATTAAATTGAGTTCCTAGGAAAATAATAACTGAAGTGGATATATAAGGGGAAAAATTAACTTGCAGCATATAAATAATTTAGACAGAAACTCGATATAGATGACAATAGGAAAAGAGACACCCATTTGGTAGGAGTAGGGGTTTTACAAGCGTTGTAAAGAAGGCTAATAGGATTAGAGTTGGTACCCTCAATAGAGTTCGAAAAAAGTTCGTTTTAGATTAGAAGAAAGCCCCCTGTATAAAGACTTGAAGGCAGAGATGGTACGAAGTGTGCCTTTAAAGCAGGACCGGGCAGAGAGTTGCACTTTTATATTCTCCCAACTTTATTACTCTCTGATTACATTGTATTTCAATGGTTCTGGTTGTAAATGTGGAGAAAATAACGCTCACTGAAAGGACAAGTACTCCATTTACCTAGCACTTCTTTATAGGCAACGAGAATAGAGTATTTGTAGAGAACAAAAGAGATCAGAAGAGAGTCTTTTAAATAACCAAAAGTGAGTGTCAATAGACCCTGGCCCTTTTAGGAAGCCAGGAGATTTTAAACGCAAAAAGAAAAGCGTTTATTAGACTATCATATAAAGAACCTGTAGAGTCTTTATCGATGACTTTATATGGGGGTTTTTCCATAAGAGGCTAGGCTTCAGAGACAACCAAAAGTAAGAAGATATAGAAGCCAGAAGGAAGTTTTTGTAGCAGGCAGAAGATAGTTTTTACGGACAACGAGAAAAAGAGAGACAGATAGAATTTTGTATAGACGAGAAGAGTCAAATTATCAAAATAGTTTAAAAGCCAGCATTTATAGACAAGTTGATATTGAATCTTTAAAGACAGGCTGAACGAGAGTCTTTGTAGTCCCTACAAACTAGTCTCTCTAAATGAACTAGAAAAGAGTTTCCCTTGACAAGCTGGAAGGTATTCTCCCTAGACGGGCTAAGGGGAGTCTCTCTCTCTGTACGAAATAAAAGTTAGTCTCTCTTAATGAGCTAAAAGTGAGTCTCTCTAGGCGAGCTGAAAGGGTGTATCTCTAGCTGAGCTGAAAGTGAGTTTCTCTAGTCGAGCTGAGAGGGATTCTCTCAAAACGAGCTAAAATTCTCTTTAGACGAGCTGAATGTGGGTCTCTCTAGACGAACTGAAAGGAGTCCTTCTGGCCGAACTGAAATGTAGTCTTTATTGACGAGTTAGCAGGAATTCTTTATAGACGAGCTAGCAGGATGTCTTTCTAGACGAGCTGAAAGATAGACTCTCTAGACGAACTAGAAAAGAGTTTCCCTAGATGAGCTGGGAGGGATTGTCTCTACACGGACTCAAGGGAAGTCTCTCAAGATGAGCTGCAAGTATGTCTCTCTAAATGAGTTGAATGTGAGTCTCCCTAGACGAAATAAGAGCGAGTCATTATAGACGAGATGGGAGCGAGCCTTTATAGACGAGATGAGAGCGAGACATAATAGATATTATGCTCTCTCTACACGAATTGAAGGGAGTATTATTTGACGAGCTGAAGGGAGTTCTCTAGCCGTGCTAAGAGCAGTCTTTATAGCTAGAGGGGGACATTATGGACAGAGGGGAAATGGTTTTATAGATAACCAGAAAAAATGATTTACAGACAAAAAATGCTATTTTTCGGAAGACAGCAGTCTTCAGAGATGAACAGGAGAAAATGTTTTTGGAAGTCAGAAAAAGATCCTTAGAAGATCAAAAGGGAGTTTTTTGGAAGCTCAGAGAAAAATCTACATATGCGAGCAGTTGCAAGTCTTCAGAGACGGCGGAATGAAATGTATATGGCATCCAGAAGAAGATCTGTAAAGTAGCCTAAGGAAGTCTTTATTGCAGAGGACAAGAAAATAGTCTAAATGGACGACCCGAAGAAAGTCTTCATAGATGAAGGGTAGAAAATATTTTTGGAAGACAGAAGGGTGTCTTTACGAACGAACGTTTAAAAACACTAGAACAACCAGTTAGATTTATGGAAGCTTAAAGGAAAGTCACAATGTGCGAATAGACGCAAGACTTCAGAGACGGCTGAATGAGGGGTCTATAGCATACAAGTCTTAAAGTAGTCAGAAGAAAGTCTTTAGAGCAGACAAGAAGGGAGAATTTATATACGACCTGAAGAGAGTCTTCATAGATGAAGGGTAACAAGTATTTTAGCAATCAACAAGGGAGTCTTGACATACGAACAGTTGGGTGTTTCCTTGAAGTTTTTTTTTTAAACCAGAACAGATAAGAAGTTATCTTTGGTCACCTGGAAGAGAGTTTTAATGGACATCCAGAAAAATGTCTTTATACATAACAAAAAGAGAGTATTTAAAGAGGACAAAATATTGGTCTTTATGGACAAAATAAAAGGTTTTGACATAAAAGACCAGAAGGATGTATTCACAGGGAGAATATGTTTTAGGAAGTTAGAGGGAGCCTTTCTAGACGAAAAAACAAATTGTTTTGTAAAAAAGGGATCACACATTATTTAGATAGGAACTGAAGAGTCTTTATACCAGCCAGAAGAGATTTTATATAGCAGCGATAAAGATTATTTATAGCAGACCTCCGAAAAATCGCTCGAATTTCAATCTTCATTCGAATTCGAGTGGGAGTAATCCTGGGAGTAGAAAACATCGAACATTCTCCCTATTTCGATGTCGCTCGAATGAGAGCAAGCTTTTTTCGCTCGTTTTAGAGTGGGCAAAGTTGCAAAGTGCAAAGTTCGCTCGGAATCAAACGCATTCTACTCATGCCTAACACTCTTTTACGTGTATTTCCTCAATAAACAACGGTAAACGAAATAAAAACAACTACGCCGATGGGTAGACTCTGTATAAATATACCACTCTTCAAGCACTCCCGCTCGAGAGCAAGTTTCACTCCCAAGTGATAACGAAGAAATGTGTGCTATAATTTACAGATAACAAAAAGAGAATACGTATTTAGGAAAGAGTAGTCTAAAATCTTGACTCTAAATACACATTCACGATGAAGTTGTTAAAGATTATCAAAAAGTAAAGTTTATAGGAGACCTGAAGCAGGTCTTTTGGGGCGATCAAAAATAAATGTTTAAAAGGAGAGCTTATATACTGTTCCCTAGACAATACCCTACATATATACTTCACGAAAAGGGTAGACCATCCAAAAGGAAGTATTAGAGTATCCGGAGAAGAATTTCTTGAAGATCAGATAGGAATCTGTTTCAGATGTGAATCTGTTAATTTCAAGGTATTAATAAATAGCCAACAAATTTCTCATTTTTAAAAATTTTCTCTTGAATTATCCCCTCAATAAAAAAAAATTCTATAAAACTGAAATAACCACTCACCTCTTCGATGGCTTCCTGTAGAGGCTTTCCAGCAGCCTGAGCCATGGCAATTGGCAACTGTTCGATGATATCGTTTGTCAGCGTTGCTGTTGGCCCATTTGTGATGTTGTTGTTGATAATTGTATTATTATTATTGATAGTGGCTGTCGCACTGTTGTTGTTATTGTTATTATTAATAGATGGTGTTGATGTTGTTGTACAATTGCTTAGTGAAGTATTTGGCGATGTTGGCGTCGAACTATTATTTGTGATGTTTAGTGAGCTGCTGTTGATACTGTTGCTAGTTGAGTTTAAGTGATTACTGCTGCCGCTGCAGGTGCTATTATTGCCCGAATCCTGAAACGAGGTATTCGCCAATGGCGGCGACGAGGCCGCCGTATGTGATGTATCCGATGATGTTGAGGTTGTACGATCCTTGACAAATGTACCATCGGGACGTACTAATATCTGTTTTGTGCCGATTATCTGTGGAAATAAAAAAATAAAGAAAAATGAGTAGGGTAAAATAAAAATAGTCACAGATATATTTATTTACTCAGATGACAGAAGATAGATTTAGAAAGAAATGTTCATGGACGACCAGAAGCAAGTCTTTAAGTCGAATAGAAGAGAGTATTAACGACGACATAAAATAATCCCTTAAGACAACTAGAAGGGATACATTATAAACAACCAGAAAGAAGTTTATATAAAGACTAGACGGAAGTCTTTAAGACATCTAGAAGAGAGTCTTAATGGACCACTGAGCAAGAGACTCTGTAGAAACCAGAACTTAGTATTTGTATCCGCCTAAAAGGGAGTCTCTTTCGACGCCGTCAATTTGTGACCAGAGAAAATCTTGACTTAAAGATGAGAGAACGAAAGTCTCCCCCTTTTATAGGCGCTTTAATTTATATTGACGATCGTAATAGGAACAATAAAAACTGATCGATGACTTCTAACAGTTCGATCTCAAATTTCCTTTCCTTTCAAATTATACCATTTCCGTTCATTCTATGCATTTGCTTGACAACAGAGCCAATGTCTTTCATTGGTCAATGGTGTGTTGATTTCACCTGTACCTATAATTCGTTTACTTTGCAACATTTTCGCTGGTCAGAAATTTCATTTTTTTCTTTTTTGCCTTTTTATTTTTTTTTCCTTTTCCTAGCATTTCTTTATTTCTTTTCATTGCCATACTTCTGGTGATCATATAATTCTTCGATGAACTCAAGAACGACCACATTGCGACAATAACACATATACGTTGTTTCTTTTGTTTTCTTCACTTTCTATAATGGATTCGTACAGGTTTTAACCCCAAATCCGGGGACACAAATGAAAACGAATCGACGGCATGGTACTCTTCATTTTTTGTCGCCATCGAGTTTTATTTAATTATTTTTCTTTCAAGTAAAGCTTATAAATATTTCATTGCTCGATGTATTTGTTGTTGGAATTTGCAATTGCTTTGTTAATATTTTCGATTCGATTTTATTCTTTTGTCAAACACCAACAACGATGAACGAATATTCTATTGTGATTTTGAATTGGTTATTCGTTATATCTGCATATGTTCTATGGGTGAGAAAAATTCGAGTACTTGATAAGTAATCGATTGAAGGGGTTGAAATGAATAAACTTTGGAGAGGAGTTGAAATAGATTTTCTACAGAAGAAGAGAAAAAAAGTCAAACTCATAATTTTTCCATTTTTTTTTTAATTTAATTGAATGAAAGCAAAAAAGATCGGAAATAGCATAAAATTTTAGAATAAGTTTAGATTTGTTCGAATTGGTCACCTTTGACACGAATTATGGCCTTCAAACGGGCAATGAAACAGTCACACGCTGCAGGAAAGTTGCCGTCATTTTCGTCGAAGCGCTTGCTTGAGATGATCGAGACTCTTGTATTTTTTAGTGCCAACCTTGCATTCCAAAATACTCCAGACACAATAGTGCAACGGATTGGTATCCGGAGATTTTGATGGCCATTGATCGCTGGAAATGAAGCGAGGAACCTCATTTTGTAACCATTCTTGGGTGGCACGTGCTGAGTCCTGTTTGAATGTCCAAGTTCTGCGGACAAAATGTTTGCGTGCCCAAGGCTTTAATACACCCTCCAGAATATTTTCGCGATAATATTCGGCATTTATTCTGATGCCACGGACGATTAATACGAGCGGAGAGCGACCATCAGCTGCTATAACGGCCCACACCCACACCACCACCATGGCCGGCGCTTGAGTTCTGGTGGCCAACCGAAGGTGCACTTTTTCAGCTGACCTCTTTGGCAAGTAAACACGATCATTTTATTTGCTTGCAAACTGCTGAACAACGAAATGCTTTTGTACGCTTGTAAACAATATAATGAGCTATCACTGGAGTCTTAATAGACGAGTTAAAGCGGAGTCTCCATAGACGAGCGAAAGGGAGTCTCCATAGACGAGCGAAAGGGAGTCGCTATAGACGAGCGAAAGGCAGTCGCTATAGACGAGCGAAAAGGAGTCGCTATAGACGAGCGAAAGGGAGTCGCTATAGACGAGCGAAAGGGAGTCGCTATAGACGAGCGAAAGGGAGTCGCTATAGACGAGCGAAAGGGAGTCGCTATAGACGAGCGAAAGGGAGTCGCTATAGACTAACAAAAGGGAGTCTCTATAGACGAACGAAAGGGAGTCGCTATAGACTAACAAAAGGGAGTCTCTATAGACGAACGAAAGGGAGTCTCCGAGCTGAAAGGAGTCACCCCAGACGAGCAGAAAGGAATCTCTATAGGCGTGCGGAAGGGAGTCCTTATAGACGAACGAAAGGGAATCCTTATAGACGAACGAAAGGGAGTCCTTATAGACAAACGAGTGTTTATAGGCGAGCGAAAGAAAGTTTTCATAGGCGACCGAAAGGGAGTTTTCACAGACGATCTGAAGCGAAATCTCCATAGAAAGACGAGCTAAAAGGAGTCACCCCAGACGAGCTGAAAGGAGTCTCTATAGACGCGCGGAAGGGAGTCCTTATAGGCGAGCGAAAGGGATTTTACACATATGAGCTGAAGGCATTCTCCATAGATGAATAGAGAGGAGTCTTTATAGACAAGCGAAATCTCCACGGGCGAATTGAAGTGGAGTCTCCATAGACGAGCTGCAAGGGAGTCTCCATAAACGAACAATGAACGGAGTCGCTACAGATGAGCTGAGGGGTTTTCTCCATACACAAACTGAAGAAAGTCTCCAAAATCGAGCCGAAAGGTGTCTACAGAGAGGAGGTAAAGGGTGTCTTCTTAGACAAGATGAGAAGGAGTAAAAGAGACACCCTGGAGATGTCAATTAATTATTGAAATTTATAATGATTTTATTTGTAGACTTGGGTAAATTCAGTAGTTATTATACCCTACAACACTATGTGTTGGGGGTATTATAAGTTTGATTGGGCCAAAAATTATGTAACACCACGAAATATTGATTTCCCACATAGGAAAGTATATATGGATCTTCCTATCTCGTCGAGCTGAGTCGATCTAGCTATGTATGTCCGTCCGTCCGTCTTTCCGTCTGTCCATCTGTCCATGTTAATTTGTAATCACTCTACAGGTCGCAATTATGGGGTTGAAATGGACCAAAAACTGAAAAAATTCCTGATTTTGCACTTACTCTACAGGTCACAATTATAGACCAATCGACGCGGAATTTCGCATGTAGCTAGAGTTTAGTGCTGGCAAGAAGCCTACCCATTTGGGTGGTCATCGGATAATATTTAGCGGGTAAAATAGACCATATCTTTTTTGTTGAAAAAATTCAAAATTTTTCATTAAACCGCGAATATTTTAAATCCCGGCGAAATCACAAAGCCATGACAAGGTAATTCTGATCTTTACATTGATGTTAAGATCCAACAAAACGGATATATAGCAAAATATGTGCGATATATATGTTTATCAAAGAAGATATGCTTGAAAAATCTCTTATATGTCGAGAACGGCTGAACTGATTTCGACATTTCTCAATAATTCAGAATGGCAGGAAACATAAAACGTCGAAAAAAATCGCATAAAATATCTCTCTAAAGATGAAAATATTGATTTTGTAAAATTTTCTCATATTTTTTTCAATTTTGTCATATTTTTGGCATATTTCCATTTTGAATTAAACATTTGCTAATATTTCTACAGCTAACAAAACTAAGTAGTTAGGATATCTGGATATCATATACAGAACGCATTTATGGCCCGATCCTTACGAAATTTTGCATGGAGATAAGGTGAGGGTTAGAATAAAAGCCTATTCTTTTTGGAGATGATCGCCATATATTTAGGGGTTGAAATGGACCAAAAAACTGCAAAATTGTCAGCAGGTTGTAATTATGGGGGTTACCGGACATTGCAAAAGCCAAGCAGTTTTGGATGGCCATCCAAAAATATTCAATGTGTGAAGGAGTTTGCCAACTTTTATAGACAAAATACGAAAATGTCCATTCCAGTGACTTTTTGGAGAAAGACGCGCTTCTGACTATTTCGTTAACGCTGATTTCGTTGAAGAATATAGTCAAATGTCTGTATCTCATATACCAATAATAAATGTTAATCTTTTGCCACTTCTGAGAGATTATAGGTCTTTGGGAAATATTGGTTCCAGATCTAGGAAGACCATTTAAGTGCAACATCTACCAATAAATTAGAAATGAGCAAATTAGTTTCAGTTGCTATTATTCGAAAATTAGAGAACGAAACCTGATGGGTTTCTTTTATTATTTGTCACAATATCTTGTGGAATTCTTTCGAGTATCTCGCCTATATAAACAGTATCGTTTATTATAGTGTTGTAGGGTATTCAACGGTCGGCCCCGCTCGACTGTAGCCTTTGCTTACTTGTTTTATTTATATTTTTATGTGAAATTAATAAAAAAAACTTAAATAATTATTAATTAAAAATTATTCATTGTAATTAATATTCATATAAAATTTGATATTTAAATTGAAAATGTAATCCTCAAAAAATCAACGGTAGCATGAAGATCCAAAAACCTGTCCGTACAGGGAATGTATTTTTCAAGGCCAAATGATTTACTACTTTCACCTAAATCAGCCCAATCAATTAATTCTCTTTATTTATAACAAGTACCCGTGAGCGACTTTATTGCTGTTGGGTTTCTTTCAAAATTCCTTTTTAGTGAAATAAAGAATCACTCCTTACAAAAATACCTTGTACGGAATTTCGTGCTGAGGTTTCACAGTGACGCATCTTGTCATAAGGCTCTTCAAGATCGAAATAATTCATCGCCGTATTAGAAGGTCCATGAATATTGTAATAATCCCCAATCTTCGTTTGTTTTCAAACCACTGTCCATCTCTGTGACGTTAATCTTCAAAGATCATGATGTTGAACTTGTGTTGGGTTATAAAGCTTTTTATTCAGTTTTTTTTTTACGACTTCAAGCATTAACTTCAACAAGTTCAACTTGAAAATGTTAACAAATGATATTATAACAATGCAAAAACT